CGATTTCAACTCCAGAGTAGGGAAAGCTTCCAGTAGAGGACAGGCGATCGGGCAGCACGGAGAAGACAAAGTCAATGACAACGGAGTGAGGACGCTTGAATTCTTGGGAAGCATCGAGCTGATTGTGTTGAACGATAGGAGGGAATGCGATAAGCCGGAGTTCACCAGGCAACGGGCAGTTTGCAATGAATACTCGATCCTCGACTACATCTTGGTAGATAGGGGGAGCACACAAATCCCAGAGCTGCATGTAAGTGCGATAGATATAGGTTCGACCGAACACTTCCTCATATGGGCAAACATCGACCGATCTAGAAAGATGGAGAGTAAGAAACAGAGGAAAGTGTTCCGGTGGAAAGTAGGGCGTTTGGGAGACGAGGGAACACGGGATGAATTCCAGAAGGGACTGGCTGGTAGTGTAGAACCCTTCAGGAAACTGCTGAGAAGCGTCGAAGACGGACAGGTAGACGTACAGGCAGCAGGGGACAGAGTGATTGAAGGGTGGGAGTCCATCGTGAACGCAACGGCAGAGAGAGTAGTGGGAAAGAAGGTTGTACGATGTGGGGTATCGGTTAAGTGGTGGGATGACGAGCTGAAAGAAGAAATAGGGGAACGTAGAGAAGTCTTCAAGCAGTACCTGAGTGAGGCGTCTGGTGAGAGTTGGGAAAAGCACAGGGCCAAGAGAAAACAGGTGAAGGGAATAGTGAAAAAGAAGAAAAAGTGTATTTGGGACGAAGTAGTGCAGAAGGCCAACGGAGGCCTGGAGGGAAACGTCAAGCAGATGTGGGCAAGGATTAGTGGAATGGTAAAAAGGACCGCGCAAGGGGGGGATACAGGGGTAGCAACTTTGCGAGGTGTGAACGGTGGATTAGTCAGCAGTGGGAAGGGAAAAAGGGAAGTTCTAGCAGGACACTACAAGAGACTTGGAGTGCCCTCGGAGAATGAAGCTTTTGACCAAGCGTTTAAGAAGGAGGTGGACGCATGGGCCCAAAAAGAAGAAGAGACATCGAAGGCAGACGTTGGGAACGTAGAACTAGAAAAGGAGTTCACTGAGGACGAGGTTGAGGCGTGTGTGAACAAGCTGCAGTGCCACAAAGCAGCAGGAGCGGATAGGATAGTCAACGAGTTCATGAATTTTGAGGGAAAGGGCATGATCCAGCTGATGGTACTGCTGTGCAATTGGGTGTGGACAAACGAGTATACGCCAAGAAGATGGAGGCAAGGAGTGGATGTGAACTTGTTTAAGAAAGGAGACAAGACTGACCCAGGAAACTACAGGGGGATCACACTGTTGAACACAGTAGGAAAAGTGTTCTGTAAGCTGCTGAACGATAGGATAGTGGGAGTATTGGAGAAGGAACATAGCATTAGTGAGGGCCAGGCAGGTTTCCGAAAGAAGAGGGGGTGTGTAGACCACGCATTCACGGTAGGGAAAATCATCCAAGGTAGAAAGAGGGCGGGAAAGCCGACGTACTGCTTC